TACAGGCAACAGGTTAATGTAAGCATGCTGGCGCAAAAGCAATACTGCTATTGGCCATTTTAATTTTAACTAGCCAGGGAGGAGCCGTGGATGGGGGTCAGTGGTCGAGGCAGCGGCCTAGGCAGCAGTGCGCCCTAGGCGGCTGCCTAGTTTGCCTAGTGGCAGCATCGGCCCTGCCCGCAAGGCTGGCCGACCTCTCACACACGTGCACAGAGCCATTCAACCCATTACACTGTATGGGACTGAGCAGTGGGGGGCTCGGGGTGGGGGTCAGGAGAGCCCAATGAATTGTCTATGTCACCCCTCTGCATCCAGATCTTATAGACACATCGCAGGGTATCAATACATCATTACTGGGGGAGGGGGGTACCTAAGATGGTTGCCAAAGCAGAGCCATGGAAATTATGGTGTGCAGTGTTTAACCCTCTAACCCTAATCCAATAACCCTAACCCTCTAACCCTATAACCCTAACCCTCTAGTCCTAACCCTCTAACCCTCTAACCCTAACCCAAACCTAACCATAGGGTTCACCCTTACCTAATAGCCCTAACCCTATAACCCTAACCCTATAACCCTAACCCTCTAGCCCTAACCCTATAACCCTAATCCAATAACCCTAACCCTAACCCTATAACCCTAACCCTATAACCCTAACCCTCTAGCCCTAACCCTATAACCCTAATCCAATAACCCTAACCCTATAACCCAAACCTAACCATAGGGTTCACCCTTACCTAATAGCCCTAACCCTATAGCCCTAACCCTATAACCCTAACCCTCTAGCCCTAACCCTAATCCAATAACCCTAACCCTATAGCCCTAATCCAATAACCCTAACCCTCTAACCCTATAACCCTAACCCTCTAGTCCTAACCCTCTAACCCTATAACCCTAACCCAAACCTAACCATAGGGTTCACCCTTACCTAATAGCCCTAACCCTATAACCCTAACCCTCTAGCCCTAACCCTATAACCCTAACCCTCTAGCCCTAACCCTATAACCCTAATCCAATAACCCTAACCCTCTAGTCCTAACCCTCTAACCCTATAACCCTAACCCTATAACCCAAACCTAACCATAGGGTTCACCCTTACCTAATAGCCCTAACCCTATAGCCCTAACCCTATAACCCTAACCCTCTAGCCCTAACCCTATAACCCTAATCCAATAACCCTAACCCTCTAACCCTATAACCCTAACCCTATAACCCAAACCTAACCATAGGGTTCACCCTTACCTAATAACCCTATAGCC